CTATGTAGGGAGGCGCCCGGAGCTAATTGCAGTTACAAACAACATAAGAAAGAAAATACAGTGGTATATGAGACTATATCTACGTTTAGCATTATACTATATTCTACAACATACAAGGTACTAGTTTTACTGGGCTTGACTTCTTCTTTTTAGGCAATGGAAGACGAAAACAAAAAAATACCTTCCAGATGTTGCCGTACCCCCCGGCGAGGAAGGACACCAGCAGGGGGATGTGGAGGCGGAGGTGCTGCAGGAAGACCTCCTGGTACTGCTCGAACGTCTCGATCTGACTCGCGTGCGGCGAGGCGAATGACTTCTTGGTCCCGCGGAGGTACGTCGAACCGGCCTGTTGTATATAGAATAGGATAGGTTTTATTTTTTTTACCTTTTTTTATTTTCTTATTTTATTGAAATTCCAACAATGCAATACACGCGGAACAGATGCAGCTGTTGCTGGTGTTGTGTCCCGCACATAGAAACGAATACTGGACAGGCAATACTCATTTTCACTTAAGTCTAGTGGGGAAAGTCGTGTGAAGTGCCTTTCCCAGGGGCACAAGATCGGTGACATGTCAGGACTCGAACCCAGGACCTCTCGATTCGATCCGAGTCGCGCACGCTGCCGTTGCGCCACACGATCCCACAAGGTTAAGTAATAGTTACAGGTTGTTGTATTTTATGTGTAACAACAAGCAAGTGTATATACGTTTGTGTTATACGTTTGTAATAAAACGTTTTTAAGACTCCAGGAAGAAGAGTGAGTATAAGCGTGTCCTTATATGTATACTCACTAATGGAGATCCTTCAAATAAACAAATATTTCAAACAAACCGGCCTGTACTTTTTCTTTTGCACTGCCCTGTATACAACTTGCATAGAGTGACCCTTCTCAGCAACCTACAGAGCCTAGTAGGCTCTACTTTTGACTTGCGCAACTTGTTTGACCAAGCCAGTATTAATCTTTTACTGAGAGGTTCGCCCCTTCTACGTCTTGAAGTCAACAAAAAAATTCTGACTCTTACTCAAACCTTTATACTTAATACCCAACGATTTACAGTTGCCTAATGATTTATATTGCCGTTACTCTTGTAAATACGAATGCTCATTGTCATACCTGTAATTTGTATTCTATGTCAGTGGTGTGATTAATATTAGCTTCGGCTAGAGTTTCCACCTCTGTGTCTTGTACCATGTCTTGTACTTTGCTGTTTCAATAAATAAATAAACAACAACAAAAACCTGCCTGTGAGTAGAGCGTCCCCTCGTTCAGCGCCATTTCCACGGCGTCCAGCAGCGGGAAGGTGCAGAAGGCGAACTCGGAGGCGCCGACGAACACCTGTAACAAACAGGAGGAGGCAGTAAAAAACCCCACTGGTCCCGGGCCGGGGTTCGAACCCACAACCTCCCGGGCCCCAGTCAGACGCTCTAACCACTCTGCCGAAAAGGTTTAGAACCGTTTGCCGGGTCAGTTTGTAGCGCCTATATGAAATTTATTGTACATTCATGCCACGACGGGCTAGGTACAGGTCAAGACATAACAGACACATAACAAACGTATATAGAAAATTGGAGACAAAAGATGCACTACTTGACTTAGACATACATACATAAGGAACAAGGGTACTATACTAGGCTAATACAAAGTGTTCTAGTCACTGAGCTAATATAGAGAGGTCAACTTCTTCTCGCTTTTTGTACAGTGGAAAATGTGGGAGCAGATCATGTTTGTGATACAGGTTTTGTCTAGACGCATCAAAAATATAAATTTATCTATATAAACCCCCCACTGTTACACACCGGCTCGAAGCAGCCGTCGCAGGCGTAGTTCCTGGCGTCTCTCAGGCTTACAGAGATGCCCCTCCTCCCGGAGTCCTGTAGGGCCGGAACCAGCCTGTCATCATGCAGCAGGATCGGGTGAGCCCCTCCGCTCAGCAGGGCCTTAGCCGCCTCCTCCAACACCTTGAATATGATACGATATGAATCTTTGTTTCAAGTTAAAACTTTTGGTCCAACACAAAAATTTCTCGCCACTGACGTCAACACTGGGTCAAAGGTATCTGGTAGACGCCCGTCGCGGTTCAATGTAGTCGACCAGATACCTTTGACCCAGTGTTGACGTCACACTTCAAAGAAGCCACGTGACAAGATTCACTGGGTCAGTCTACTGAGGAAGACCAGAGTGACTGGTCGAAAGTTCTGGGTCAGAGAACTTTTTGTGTTGGACCAAAAGTTTTAACTTTAAACATGTAACTACCAACACAGATGAACTTTCATGATGATATGAATCTTTATTGCATATTCCTGTCCAGATGGACTAAATGCACATGTGGTAATATTTATTTATTTATTTATTTATCTTAACAACGTATGGGTAGTCTCTTCAGCCCCGCAGGGCTGATTTCCAAGAGAGCCCATAATAAATAAACAAGAATATAATGCAAACAAGGATACAGAAAAGATAATATAACATAAATCAAATCAACATAAATTAAGCACAACAGTCGGTCGATGGTCTTTGGAGGGCCAGAGGTCAAATTCCGAGTAACTTAGGAAATGATACAAAAATAGTAGTAATAATTGAAAATAAGAATGATGAATCATATAAACAAATCAAACAAATCAATAAACATAGTTAAATCAAGGTTGTCGAGATCGTCATTGGGTAGTCAGGTGTCAGATGGGTTCAGATCTTAGTCTGTCTTTAAAGGCTTTAAGTGTGAGTGCTTGTTTTACGTTACATTTTAGTGAGTTGTATGTTACTGCTGCCCTGTACGCAAAGGTACGTTGTCCTGCTTTTAAAGTGTAGTTGGGTCTGTGCAGGAGATGTGATTGTCTAGTGTGGTAGTTATGGATTTGATTATTATAATTGAACATGTGGTCTCGGGCACGAAAGACATGGAGTACAGAACACTAACAATACTATAGTCCAACGCTAAATACTAAAATTCTATTTGTTAAGATAACACTATGTGCTATTGTCCATCTACCAATAACCGTTGTTTCTTCTCTCTTCTCTAAACACATGCAGAGAACCTTTATGTTTCATTTAAGGTGTTACGATACCAATAGTAATTAGCGTTACTTAATATAATAGTTATTTGTTCTTATCTAAGGCCACACCGACTTAATTTTATGGATGACATCCGCGCGCGCATTGATTTTTGCCTGTTTAAAAAAAAAAGATCACGTCCTTCGAAGCTCTGGTCTGGCTCTAGGCCTGGGTAGTCCATGGTAGTTAGCGACAATGGGGAGCCGGCGGTAACACTGTAGGACGGCACCCGAAGCTTCAGGAAGCTCCAGATCTCAGTACATACGTACAGTGCCGATTCAAAACTTCGCAAAAAGCCAGCATGTGTAGGCTTGTCGTATACGTCGCAAATTCAAAATACCAGCTTTCTATTCCTGTGGTTTAGTGGCATTTTTGTTTTATGCCGGAATTTTTTTTATTCGCCCGCGCGCTCTAGTTTGGGGGTCTTCAGGGGATGTCATCCATAAAATTAAATCGGTGTGGCCTAATAATAATCATTATCATTAGACACCTCTTGCGGGATCCCGTGGTGAACCCGTAGCGTCAGGCACGGGGCGTTCAGAGGAAGCCGCCTGGAGGCTCGGAGGCACATCAGGGTGACTTCGTTGCAGGCGGTGGTGGGGACCTCGTCGTCGTTGGGCAGGTACCCTCCGATGGTGAGCTGCTGGCCCCACTGGTTCAGGCAGCCGCCCTGCGGGAAAGTTTCTTTTATTATTATCATTCGTCGAAACATAATAGTAATAATAATAAATCAGGGTTTTTTCTAAACAGGGGAATAAGGGAGTTGCTCCCTCGTGTAACAAACTAGCTCCCTGATATCAATTTTCAGATTGAACCCTAAGTGGCTTCTTACACTCTATTTAGTCTTTTTAAAAATGATCTTTTTTCAGTAAAGATGTAAAAACAACACAACAATGCATTCTAGCATTACAAACTGTGTTAGTGTCATAAAAACCCTCCTCAGTTGCTTCACTCCCTCAACATGCTTGCAATCTGCTCCCTTATGCTAAATATTTCTAGAAAAAAACTGATAATAATAGACTGGTTTATTTATTTGCAACGCACATACCATTGCAGCGTTACCATTGCAGCTAAATTGGGGCGTGATACACATTAAAATTCATCATGGATGATTCCACAAGTCGACAATAAAAGGTAAGACACTAGTCTTGAACCTAGAAGTTCCGCAGCTGAACTGCGTGGGGTTGTCAAAACATAACAAAGACGGCGTGGCGCTGCAGTCGAGTTTATAAGTTATTCTAACAGCGCCGCACAACAAAATATGACAAACACATAATTACACAAAGTTGACATAACAGTGCGCCGAAGTCCCACCATCCCAAGACATTTCGTAATAGTAATGCTAACCAGGTTTAAAAAGAAATATGTTGAACAGGAGTGGCTTCTAAGGATTACATAAAAACCTAAAAATACAAAGTCTAGGATAAAAGAAACTGAGCGAGGGCCTATTTAAGGTCTGCTTACCAACTGGCAGTACCGACACCAGAACTGACTTCTGGGGAAGGCATCAGAGCGTAAAAGCAGACTGATGATGTCGTTACCCGACGACAGGAGGCGAGCCGCAAAAGAGTGGGTCAGCTTTCGTCTCCTGGCGTCGAAGGTGTCGACACCCAACTGGGCAAAGAACAGGCTGTTACTAGTGGAGCGAGGCTGAGACATGATGATATTTACCTGGGGAAATTGCCCGTTGCTGGTGTAGGGCACGGCGGTCATCCCCGGGAAGATCTTGTCCTGCGCGGCGTGGCGGTTCAGCACGGTCCTCTCGCCGATCTTGATGAAGAAGCAGTCGATGATCTCCTGGGCTTCCTCCTTAGTCGTCTCACCGTCTGTAAATAGTGCATTTAAGGAATTGTGTTATGTTATGCTTCATACTGTTAACTTTGTAATGTTTTGGTCGTTACTCTTCAATTGTAATACATGTATGTATATGTGAATGTAATATGTAGACCTCTATATGCTAATATTCCTTAGCTCTAAGAGATATGAAGCTCCCCGGGGGAGACAGGGGGAGACAACCTACTCAGCCTACTGAAGGGAGACCTGAAGTGCAGAGGGCTAGGCCCTCCCACAACAGAAAAGAAACTCAAGGAGCTTAGAGAGCTCGCGAAGCAGAAGGCACGGTGGAAAGAGATGAAGAAAGACTGAATGCGGCTACAGGACATTTCCACACGACGCAGAACACAGTAGATGATGATGAATATATGTAGACCACAGGAAGACTAGCCTCTTATGAGGCTAATTGTGGATCTAAATAAAACTCAAACTCACCCTGAGAGTAGAACGGTCCCAGTAGCAGATCCAGCCGGCCGATGGAGATGTGCTCACCGACGATGTGCAGGCAGCAGTGCATCGTGAAGACGAGCTGCGCGGCCTCCAGGAACGTGCCGGGCTTCTCCCTGGCCAGCTTCTGCATGCGGGCGCCGACCTTCTTAAGATTCGCCTTCTGCTCTCTGGTGAACGTTTCCTTGGTGGACAACCTGTCGGCCAAGTATTTGTTTATTTGTTTATAAGAATTCACCACAAGTACAAACATACAAGTGGAAGGGAGGACAAAACGGGTGTATTGACACCTTTACCAAGTTGTCCTCCCAAACACAACAATATAAATACAGTGCAATACAAATTACAAAGTCGAACAATTGTTGACATGAAATACAAATTCCTACAATAACATACAATAGTCATAAAAATGCAATACAATACAATACAGTATATAATCAGCAAAGAGTCACCCTACTCAGCAATCTACAGAACTTGGTAGGCTCTATCTTTGATGTGCGTAGCATGTCTGAACAATTCTTATGTAACATTTTACTGAGAGGATCACCCGATTTACACTCAGATACTGTAACATTTTGACAATCGCCCAAACTTACGTTATTGATACTAAACGGTTTGTATTAGATTAACTCCTACATAGCCTATACAAAACATTTTCTTCCTTACCATTTATTGATCCATTTCCACCCATTTGCTGTTCTCTGTTGTATTTTGTCACTGTATACTTGTATTTTTGGTAGTGAGTTTAAAATTAGCTATAGCTGGAGTACCTCACCACCATGTCTTGTATTGTCCATGTTGAATTGTAAATAAATAAATTAAATAAAAAAACCTGTCGGCCAGCTCTGCGTAGCTCTCTATGTAGGCTTGTACCCCCTCCAGCGACTTTTCAGCCGAAAGAAAGAACATCTTCTGGTCCTTTGTTTCCGCGGAAGCTGCTTTGGTCTCCATCTCGTCGATAAGGGCTTGCAGACCTGTTTTTTTTTGTTCAGAGGAAACATCAATACAAATAAAAGGACAAAGACTATATAAGTGACGACGGGTGCAAGTTATATTCTCGCTCTTACACATTATCAAAACAAAGATAACTGACTAGACATTCAAATATATGAACATAAAGCAAATAGACTATAACCGAATATGAGTCCGGACCTCCCTCCCAGAAAAATAAAAACAAAAAAGGATACATAGGATAACTCAGACATTTTGTTGATAGGATATAGCTTTGTGTGATAGGCATGATTTTACATCTATTATCAGGAGAAAACAAACAAACAAACAAACAAACAAACAAACAAACAAACAAACAAACAAACAAACACAGACCTTTGTCCAGGATGACCTGGTAGTCCGGCACGATGTGTCCTATCGCTGCAGCTTCGTTGACGCCCATCTGAAAGGCGGGAATCTGCTCGTCCTGCGTCAGATACGGCATCACCCTCTTCCCGAGCCCGAACGCAAAACTCGGCATGACTCCCACGATCAGCTCGTCGGGGTAGATGCGGTACAGGTCGAACTTCTCGGAGAACGGCGGCGTCTTCACGATGTTCTGCAAGGTGTAGTACGTCGCCAGGCCCTTTCTTATGGGGACGGCGTTGTCGTACTTTTTGAGGAGAGCGCGGTCGCTCTCGTTGAGGAAGGTTTTGAGATCTGGGATGAGCGGCTCGTCTTGTTTCTCGAACCAGCTGCGCTGCCAGTCGGTGAGGACCAGGCCCATGAGTTTCAGCACCCGGCAGCTAGGCGTGTTTTTGGCGTCCCTGTACCCGCCTGTGGTCATCCGGTACATGTACTCACGGCTGTTGAATTAAAATAAATGTGTGGTGAGTTTGAAATTAGCTATAGCTAGAGTACCTCGCCACCATGTCTTGCATTGTCCATGTTGAATTGTAAATAAATTAAGTAAAAAAAACCTGCGTAGCTCTCTATGTAGACTTGGACCCCCATCAGCGACTTTTCAGCCGAAAGAAAGAACATCTGCTGGTCATCAGTACTGTACCTGTTGTAGAACATGTAGCCGTTGTCGCTCTTGACGTCCCACTGTGGCATCAGGGTCAGCTGCTCCCGGACGGGGACCGGCGCCAGACCCAGCTCATCAGCGCTCGGTACGTACCAGAAACTCCCCTCCTCCGCCTGCACCGCGCTGATCAGGTGGTCCTCCTCAGCTACCTGTTTGGAATTAGGCCATAAAAAGTGATTTTTATGAATTCTGATCCCTCCTTTTAATTTTGAATTTACCTTATCATTTTGTGATGTTCATATACCATTTGTACAAGTTTCGTGATTTATATATGTTTCATTTTATTATGTTGATCCCAGGAAGAATAGTGTTTAAGCACTAATGGGATCGTAAAAAAACTATAATAAGATCTCTCTCTCTCTCCCTCCCTCCCCCCTCTCTCTCTCTCTATATATATATATACACACATTACACACAATCTTTAAGATTTTATCTTCATCACCCAGGATTAGGAATAGTTATGAATATTAGTGATGACTGCATGTACCAAACACTTAACACTTGTAGATGACAAGCTTTGATACAGCTACAAATTTTATGTTGTAAGCCAGAATTATTAGAAATGTACCTTATATGACCATGACTTATGAGAACAATGGTACTCATGATGGGATAAAAGTCAAGTAAACAAACAAACAAACAAACAAACAAACCAGCTTCTTGAGGATGTCCAGGAACCTCTGGCAGGTGTTGGCGCAGGAGATGTAGAAGGCCCCCTCCTCCCGGCCGATGCCGGTCTTGTTCATCCCGTACGGCATGGACTGCCGGAAGATGAGCGGGTGTTTCCCGTTCTCGTCCAGGATGTGCGCGCACTTCACGTGCCTCCGGGGGTAATCCACCTGTAGATAGAACACATCGGTGAAGATTGGACATCCAGGTAATGAGATACGCCAAAAAGCAGTTACTCAAGCGACTGGATATGATTTTTTCTCTCCCCCCTCTCTCTAACTCTAACACACTCTCTCTCCCTCTCTCGCTCCCCCTCTCTCTAACTCTAACACTCTCACCCCTCCCCTCCCCTCTCTCTCTACCTCTCTTCTCTACTCTAGCACTCTATCTCCCTTTCTCTCTCTCCCCTATCTCTTCCCCCTCTCTTCTTCTCTCCCTCCCTCTTCCTCTCTCTCCTTACTCTCTCTACCCCCTCTCTCCCTCTCTATCTCTCCCCCCTCTCTCTCCCCTCACTGTCCCTCTCTAGCTATCCCCCCCTCTCTTCCTTTCTCTCTCTTTCTCTCTATCCCCGACTCTCCCTTCCTCTCTCTCTCCCTCTCTTCC